TTGTTTTCGAAATCCTTAATAAATAAGAGTTTTAAAAAGTGCTGAAACTTTATGAAGGACCCTCGTATTTTAAAACCCTTGCAGGTAGCCAGGTTGGTCCGCCAGACAGGATAAAAAGGCCATCAAGCTCTGTTCTCTTTTATTAGGGTCAACTAATATGCCACAAGATTGCGATGAAGATGAGGAGCTCTTCTGATCTGCTCTTGTTGGGAGTGAGCAGGATTTGGGAGCTTCAAGGACAGCTGGCTGCACTTCAGAAGAACCAGAATGCGAAGCAGAACTGGGGAGACTGGGAATGTGGGCCAAGCTGGACACTGGGAAGAGAGAAGCGGAGATGCTCATCTCAAGGCCAGGCTCCCCAGGAGGGAGGAGGGTCCCTGGGAACATCCCAGATGTGGAAGTTTCCCGGCTTCAGCCAGTGGGGCACGGCTCCTGACCGCATGACGTGCCTCCAGCAGAGGAGGGTGGCCCCGTTGGAGGAGGGGGGGTCGCTCTCAGAAGGCCCCTCCCAAAGGGAAGGGGCCCAGGCATGCTCATGAGAGTTCCTGGAGGTGAACACAAGATCGAGCTCAAGCTATCATGATCCAGGGTTCCTCCTTCAAGCATTCAAAAGCCACAGACCTTTTTCTGTTCTTTGTTGACCAAAAAGCACAAAGCTCTCAGAATGAATCTCTGAGCATGCACAGAGCGGTTTGCTGAACCCAATAATTAGTCTAATTTTATGATTTTGACTGAAGACGTGTTTTGGAAAACTTGAATGTTTCTATGACACATTATTTGGCCCTAGAGAGGACTGGGGGATTTGATCTTTGGGGATTCCAATGGGAACTGACCTCATGTGTCACTCCCAGGTGAATGTGCATATTGGAACGTTGTTATCTCCTGCTTCCTGAATATTCTGATACAGTCTTTGGTTCAAAAAAGGACGGAAATATATTCAAAATGTGCATTTTGAGAGAAAGACATGTATATCGATATAAATACAAATTTGAAAGGGCACTTTAGCAATTTGAAAGAAAGCTTACAAATTTGGCATTGACTAGAAATAGACTAATTCCCTCATCCTTCCCTGGTCTTCATAAAGAAAAGATAATACCTTCCTGTTCCTTTTGGAAATAATTCACTTTAAAAATAAATTGCAAGTATGAATTCAAAGTCAGATGTGCTCTTTTGGGGTTCAGCTCGTATTCCTCAGGTCTGCGGCTTATTCCATCGGACGGCGAAGCCTTGAGTTCCCCGATTGCACAAAGACTCATGCAAACACAACCAGGCAAACACGAGCAGCTCCCTGTGGAACCTTAACTTATGGACTGAACCATAAAAATATCATACGAAGGGGGGTGGAAGCTCAGCAGAAGTCTAATATTTCTCCTGGAATTTTGCGACCCTTCATGGTCAAGTAGCTGATGCTGAATGTCTCCATTGTTCCTTATGGGTAAAGGAAATATAATTGGCTTTAGAGAGAGTATCCCATTTCTCATGAATTAGGTAGTTCAGCTCACTAAAAGCCCATTGTTCATGGCAGAATTGCGGGTCTCCCGAACACAGAAGATTTTGAGGGACTTAGGAGGCAGAGTTTATCCAGCAAATCACAGATCTGCCTGTTTTATGCCACTGCCTTCCGAGACACATTTATGGACACTTTGCAGTTCCCCGGTGCTGTAATGTAATCGCGAATGGCTCAAACGCACGCAGGGGCTCAGAGTCAGGCCGCTTCTGACGTGCGAGGGATTAAGTGAATGGGGACTGGCCAGGGCGGTCCCGAAAGCAGGGCAAGCGGCACCGACAACCTGTCAGAGGCAAACAGGCACCATGAGATATATGGTCAGCGGAAAACACCACAAGCTTGGCATTTAAGAGTCCAGAGAGATGCTACTTTCACTACTGCTGCTTGCACTTCGAGCATCACAGAGATACTGGGCCCCAAATTATATTGGTCCGGGAGGCTTGTCCTGTTTCCCTGCAGAGACCAGGAGTGCAGGTATGGGAGGGGGTGTCACACGGAGGGGGGTCAAGACGTGTTTGCCCCTGTGAAGGAGGGCAGGATGCGTTCCAATGGAGCAAAGCTCAGGGAATCAAGGTTCAATTTGGATGCCAGGAAGGACTTCCTGACGGTTAGGACCCTGAGGGTAAGGAATGGGCTTCCACAGGAGGTGGTTAAGGCCCCATCGGTGAGGGTGTTTAAGGACAGGCTGGACATGCACATGGCAGGCATGTCAGGAGTGGAGCTGGCTGAAGCCAGGGGTCAGACTAGATGGCCCAGGAGACCCCTTCTGACTCACTCTGCTTCTATGCTTCCATCCTATGGTTCTAGATGAAAAGCCACATTCCACCAGTTCCCCCTGGTGCCAAATCTGTCTCTAGGCGATCCAAGCTCAGGAATGTCAGCACTCATAAAATGGGCAGATGGCTGGGGAGAGCCCCACTCCCAGTGGTAAAATGGGAATTTTCTAATCATCCCACAAAAGGAGGGGCACCCAGATCATGGCATGAGCTCCAGGGTTGCCCACATTTAAGGCAGTTCCGTTTCAGCAGAAGCTTGAGTGGAACTGGATTCTATGATCGTTTTAGTTTTCTGCTCTCCTATTGTTATGAGGTAGTTTTCAAAGTCACATCGATGTTATAAGCTTTGCCACAAGCTGCTTTTGGTCTCTTTTGCGGAGAAAGTAAGGATACACCCAGGCTATTATAAGCAAATGCCTGCTATGATTTCCAAACATTTAAAACAGAGGCTCAAAATACTTTCTTTCTCCTACAGCTATGAGGATTAGGACAATGCAAAGAGTCAGCTTTTTGGTATTCCACAGAAGCTATGATACAAAGCATCTGTACCCCTTTTATAAAAGAGAGAGTGTGGCAGTAACACACGCCAGGGTGATGCAACACGACGCAACATGGCCGTGCGAGAGGTGAGGGGGATGGTGGTGAGGAGCAGGGCCTTCTCTGCAGCTGCTCCCTGTCTGGAATGCTCTCCCCAAGGAGACTCGCCTGGTGCCTTCCTTCCTTTCTTTTCGGCACCAGGCAGAGACCTTCCTTTATTTTATTTTGTTAGAGTTAATGCCACTCGACCTTCTGTTTTGTATTTTTGTCTGTATTTTATCGACACCGTATTTTTAATATGTTGTAGTTGGTCTTTATCGTGTTTTATCTTGTGACTGTGAGCTGCCCAGAGGTGCTGTGGAAGAACTGGGCAGCATACAAATGTTTTTTAAGATGCTGATGATGTGTTCGAAATCCTGACAGAATCTGCTGAATGAAGCGGGTTGCATAGATCTTCTTTGGGAAAGGCCTTGAGTGAACCTTTGAGCCTCTCTCTGGGGCCGCTCAGCAATGGGATGGGATTTCTCCTCATCAGTTCACGGACTGAGATACTCCTCCTTCCTGCTTGGAGGGAGGCCTGGCCAGGCCTGGCTTGGCCTGGCTTGCATGCCAGGCCACACCACGCCACTTTGGAGTATCTTTCCTGATTTGCTATTTTTACTTCATTGTTAATATTGTCGCCTGCCTTGAAAGGCTTTTACTATACATGGGAAAAAAGAAAAGAAAAAGTAATCTATATCATGCGCTGAAGCGTCAGTAAGTCATTGAGTGTGGATGCCATGAAGTGTCCCATTTCCAGTTCTTCTGAGTGCCGCTGTTTAAGCCACAATCCTGTTGCCTTCACGCTTCCGGCCAGGCTGAAAACGCCATGGGCCATCTCTGTGCTCCAGAGATCGGTTGATTCAGAGATACTTGTGAATCAACTGCTAGCGCAGGCACATGTTTTTGAAGTGTAAAATGGATCCCGTGTGCAAATACCATGGACAGATCCGTGCCATTGTTCAAAAGACTGAAAATGGTACAGGAAAATGAGATTAAAGTGGAGGGCGAGACTCCCTTTTGTCTGAATAATTCCAGATGACAGCGCAGCCTCCCCTCTCTTGCACACGGATACCAGGGCATGAAGTCAGACTTGCTTCTGAGCGGGCTGTGAATTCTAAGCACACTTAAGTGTACTAATGTAACGTACAGTCAGTTACGAATGATTTATTTGGCTTGCAGTTTTGCTATGTTTTATGCATGAATGAGCCTCTGTGAGGAGATGCAAACATTACGCGCTTGTGGCAACCAGAAAACATTATCTAGAAAGTATAAAAGTTTAAGGCTGACTCTGAAAAGCGCAGTAATTTCAGCAGCCCTATTTAGAACTGTGCATCACTCCCGTCCATTCCTAATGTAACCCTCGAGGAGCACATGCATAAATTATAAAAAGTATTCCCACGAGGAAAGTGCTAAGAAATCTTATTAAAAATGGGCAAATGGATTAAGGATGTTTGATGCAAGCCCGGTTTGGAAAGAAGCATGCTAATGTAACAAGATTTCATCATGCAGAATCACTTGACCACACACTGCCTAGTGCAAGAAGAACTTACGGGATAAGAAGAATTCCGTTCTGACCCTCCTGCTGATATTAACTCATGCAACAGCAGTAATGGCTTCTAAATTTTGGGAATATCGGGGCAGGTGCAACAGCAAAATGAAAAGGAAGTTCAAGTGTGCGTTGCACAAAATCCAGAGCAAGCACCCACTTTCCAGAAGGCTTTTTAAATATTAATACAGATTAATGTTTGAAATATTCACGTGAACTAAAGAAGAAATCTTTCTTCTGTTCCAGAAGCAGCTATATCCATTCACCCTGAAAATCCAGATCCAACCAAATTCAATTCCTTTTGATACCAGGGGAGAGAGCAACACCTGGACTTAATCTATGAGAAATCGATGAGAGCTAAATGTATCTTGGCTGGATCATGGCCCGAGTCTGTGCAAAGATGCCAGAACTGCAGCGCATGGGTCACATTTTCCATCTTGCAAAGTACGCTCAGTGCTTAAAGTGAGAGCTACGGCTTATTCACCTCCTAGCGATTCCACACCAGCCCCACGGAACTGCGTGAGACTGTCTTCGCAGGCGTCGGCACCCGAAACAAGATTAATAGGGTTACGGAGCGGGTGCCCCCACTCACCTGGGGGTTGCCGCAGCTCCGTGATGTTCTCAGTAGCCTCATCGTCGGAATCGCCTCCGGCGGCCACCACTTTGTATCGGTTGCTGGTCTGTTTGTTCAGCATGTGAGGGACTTGCAGGGCGGCTTCTCTTTCAGCGGCTAAGTCCAGGTCTTGCTGAGCAAGGTGAGCGCGCAGTTGCCTGATCTCAAACTGAGGCCAAAGGGAGGGGAAAGAGGAAGCATGAACGGGATACGGAAGAACGCTGCACGCAAAGCCACTTACTGCACGATCGACGCTCAGCCAGCCGTCAGGAAACTCATCTGGAAGTCCGTGTTCGCGTTTTGTGTGACAGCTGCAGCACCACACCAATTCATCCAGATTTTAAAGGTCAATCAATGTGTTTGTTCTCGACATTTGTGTGTGGCCCAGGCGGTGCTCCAACCACGTGGTGTCACGGTGGCAAAAGCCACGGGTGAAGTGCGCATTTTAAGAACATAAACTTTTGTGGGCTGCAAACTATGTCGTCAAATATACGAATATACATATACGATGTGTATTTACCATGCATGGATATTTAGAGAAAAAAGGGAAAAGAGCAGGGCTACAAGACCATGAAATACACGAGGCACAAACTCAATTTCATGGCCTTTTGGCTATGGGAGAGGTTTCCACCCAATGAAATGGCCATTTCTAGGGGCTATAATTCAAATGTAAAAGAAATGTTTCCCTGTGCTTGCATTTTCTGTAGAATAAAGCTAAGAGCAATGTTTTATGGATGTATAAAATGCATTTCACAGGGGAATTGCATACAAAGCTGCATATTAATTGTAGAGCAGATCAAGAAATGGGTCAGAATAAGCGTACTTCAAACAGCTTGGAAGCTGTAGAAAACGCCACTCTCTGTTCCACACAACGTAGCTGTCTTTGAAAAGAAAGTTTACACGGAAATCGACGTGACCATCATGTCAGCTTTGAACATCAACACGTTAGTTTTTAAAGCTGCTAGGGAACCGTTTTTGCTCCTGGTCTGGCATAACACGGAGCGACGGACTATTTAAACAAGAAGCAAACATGTGTGAACTTACGCTGCAAAAGGGAGAGGAAACTCACAAGCCTGGTGCAAAGCAACAAAGCGTGGTTTTTAGTTACGTGTGCACAAGATCCATCCCCTGAGCAGACAGAGGGGTGGGCAATAAAAAATCCGGACACACGGCCTGATAAAGGGTAGCGTGACCAAGAACGTATCCCAGAAGCAACATGGACTTGGGGCAATCACAACATGTGGAGTTTAGCAGGTGTGAAACAGCTCCAGGAGGACTTCAAACTCAGCTCAGGAGCCTTACAACGGGACACGCTGCCCCTAGGCCAAGTCCATCCGCATTTATCTCATCTTTCTGGAGAAGTGATCTGACACCTCTCAGGTGTGAGGGCATCAGTGCGAACTCACCCTGTCTTAGCAATAAGGAGAGGCATATGCAAATTCTTGCTGTTGTAAAACTGCCACTGCAAATGAGGAACGAATGCACAGGGACTAAGGTCCGTTCCCACTGGGTCTATTGCCCATCGCAGGACCAAACCAGATCACATATCTGGCTTTTATAAGGAAAGTAGCTCTAACTTTGAGCCCATGGATTCGAAATGGAGCTGCTTTTGCCAATACAAACTTACAACACCTCGACCTAGAGAGCAGGTGGCAGGAATGCTTTGCATTTCAGAGACAACAGGCAGAATAACCTTTGCAGACAAGTATTTTGGAAAAAACGCGAAAATAAAAATGGCAGTGCTGCCATCTTATGGCCAATGGGCAAAAATACAGGCAAGGCAGACTTGTTCTCAGACTAAGCACCTGCCAAGCCAGGAATGAGCAGAAAGTGGGTCAGGAAGCACCTGTTGGCCTCGAGGTGATTCCCAGGAGAGCGACAAGGGTTCCTGATTCCCAACTGCCTAATCATAAGAAGGACCTGATTCATTCGGGACTTTAAATTAGGGTGGCAAATAAAGAAAGACAGGTGGAAACCAAGAATAGGCTTTTGGGCACGGGGTCTGAACTTCTGCCGCAGTTTGCCACCCACCAACTCTTTGTTCAGTTGGAGGTTCCATTAAAAGCAAGAACAGACCCTCAAGGTCTGGATTTACATATTTTGCAGTTCATGTGCAGCGTGTTTGCAAGTGGGTTTGGGATTTTTTTTTGTATACATGTACAAAAATGCTAAACATTCCTATGAGGCAGCTTTAAATTCTCCTTGAAGACCAGGAAACTAAAGCACACTCAATTATTCCCTGGGCACTGCATCAAGCAAGGATTAATAAAAAGCTATCAAAGGAGAGGGACGAATTATGGGCTGGAGGGAATACCTACATCTTATGGCTGGTTACCCTCTCTTGTCCAGGGTTTTAGAGCATATATTATAAGGACAGGGCGATCGGTCAATTGTATTGTGCTCCTTAATAGCCTCTAGCAACGGGGGATTAGCCCAGCCTCGGAGAGATCAATGGACACTTCAAAGCAAAGCTTGCCCCGGATTAACACACACTTTTGCATCAGGAGACACTGTAAGCAAGTGATTTACAACCTAGAAAAGAGGCAGGATAAAACCACGAGAAGGAAGGCCTTAGCCCTTGGCTAGGGTCAGGGGTATGCACCAGGGTAGGGTTAGGGTTAGGAAAACGGGGTGTCCTGGCATGATTCTGATGGTTGGAATGTGTTTAGAATGGGCAGAAAGGATGAGCAGCGCAGAAAAAGCTACTCTGGGAAGGCTTTTTCAAAATCGCCCTCTCTTCAATGGCATTTGAGCCCTGTATTAGGGTTAGGGGTGTGCACCAGGGTAGGGTTAGGGTTAGGAAAACGGGGTGTCCTGGCATGATTCTGATGGCGGGAATGTGCTTATAATGGGCAGAAAGGATGAGCAGCGCAGAAAAAGCTACTCTGGGAAGGCTTTTTCAAAATCGCCCTCTCTTCAATGGCATTTGAGCCCTGTAGTAGGGTTAGGGGTGTGCACCAGGGTAGGGTTAGGGTT